AATCGTTAAGAGCCTCCTCCGTCTTATCGATGCCAGTGCAAAATACAAGTTTGAGCCCGTGCAGGGCATCATCGAACGGTGCTTGTGGATTGCTTGTCTCCCCGAAGACGAAATCCAATCCCGCAGTAAAGCACTTGAATAATCTCTCGTTTTTGTTTTTCCCTTTCCTTCCTTGGTCCTTTTGATTGCACCTCTATATCCATTTTTGTACTACAACCTTGACATCCATGATTGGATAGTTTATACCCCATTTCCTGAGGCTGCTTTGTCCCTCTGCCATTTTGTCCGATACTTGCATCTGGTTAATACCTTTCGTTTTCGAATTCCTTTTTGTCTTTTTAGTGCTGAACCGCGTGTCCCCATAAATGGAGACGTCTGTCTATACATGGCTTGGATCTACCACTCCATAATGACAGCAATCCTTGTACATACATTGGCTATCCCAGCCATGCTCGCGTTTGGCCTCGTCGGCGCTCACGCATTTCAGGAATTCCCGGGCGCCGCTGCCATTCCCAACCTGCTAGAGTCGCCTAGCCGTTCGTGGCGAACTCTCCCATATCACGGTGATTTTGTTTCATATCTATTTTTTTGTTTGGTCTTGTTGTCTCAAGATCACAGGCCTATACTTCGGGATTTGGGTGTTCTTTTCCATATCAGAACGTGGGTTTGAGATATCATATGCCTCCTTTATGGATAGCAATATATTTGGAGCGTTTCTGCAAGATAATCTATATTCAGCATTCGTTATCGAATCCTGGAAAGCTGCGCCTTGTTTTCACGCTATCAAGCTTGCATTGTCTACATACTTGTACCCCAGATTCTTGCACTATTTACCGTGGCCTTCCCCTTAGCTAACGCTATTCAATTAAGATATCCATCCATAGATAGTATGAGTAACAGATTCCACTATCATACAATGCCATATGGAGGGGAAATACTAGTAGGACTTCAAAAAAGACGTTCTTGCAGGTGATAGGGGTTTCCAATGTTGTTACTTACCAGCTCTACATATTAGTATAAAATAATAAAGATTTCAACCAAAATAGAAAAGAAATAGAAAAACCTACCAAGCCATTTGCCTTCATTTGTTTCATACCCCAACTTTACAAAGCTGCGTCATATCTCCCGACGTCTTCGGGGCCACATCGCGGGAGCTGGACCAGGAACGGAACACCAAATCCACCACCACTCATCACCAACAACTCCCTCCAACTACCAATTTCCACGAGTGGAGGGTACCCTCCTTACTGAACATATCCCCAGAGAGGGTTCTTCAATCTTCTCTCAAATTCAAACCCTTTGATGTCCCGCCACAACTCTACCGGACAGCCAGCCCACCACGATGGACATGACTGAACCGCGGCGCGGGGCTTCAGAGGACCCCATCGACTCTAATGACTACAGCGACCACAGCCCCGCGTCCTTCCACGAAGCTAAACAGGAACTACCAGATGACTTACCCAAATCACTGGACGATCGTCGCTCCGTCCCGGTCTTCCAGCCGGAGACTGAAATGTACGATGCTTGGCAGGGTGAGTGCTCTTGTCCGCGGAACTATTTCCCCATTTCCCCGACGCGGGGGATCAAACTATTTTACCTTGGACAGCTACGTGTTTAGAAATTTACCAGCTGCGTTGGGCGTTCAAGCATTAAGGTCTAATCGTTGAATAGGTCAATCACAATACCTGACCGCGCCAGTCGCCGCGAAACCCTTATCCTTCAGCCTAGCGCTCGACGATCACTCGCACGACAGTGAGCACGAAACACGGGCTCACTATGGGCGCGATATTGAAGATAGTGACGCCCGACTAATGGAGATGCTTGCTGCCCAAGCTGCCCATCGGGAGGTGGATTCGCTCACTGCAGACGAGGAGACGATTGCCGCCGACGAGAAATTGACCGATGACGAGAAGCGCGACATACTCCAGAAGAGCCTAAACATGGCAGCCAGTAATGGCGATGTGGATCGCGTGCGGAAATTGGTACAGGGCGAGGCGAGGGCTTACGTGGATGTCAATAAGCCCGACGAGGAGGGGACTGTGCCGTTGATCTATGCCAGTTGTTTTGTGGGTTGCTCGTACGTGCGAAATATAGGTTCGAGGCTGACGGGTTACAATAGGGTCATCAAGACGTCGTTGCTGCACTCATTGTCGCCGGCGCCCTCGTCGACAGGCAGGATCGTAACCAGTGGAGCGCGTTGATGTGGGCCATGACCAACAGACACAAGACGATAGCGAAAATTCTTCTTGATAACGGGGCATCGCCGGATATCAAGTCCTCATCCGGTGGTAGGGCTTTTGATTTCGCCCAGCCTGGTAGTGAGATTTCTGAATATCTGCATGAAAATGGTTACAGCTTTGGCGCTGGTACTATCGATGATGACTTCTATGACGCTGGATTGGCGCATGGTCGTTTCGAAGAAGAGCTAGCGGAGAGCGAGATGAAGCGGCGAATGATGATGGAAGAGAGCGCAATCAATCTGGAGGTTGATCTTTCCAGTCTAGGGCTTGACGAAAAATTCGAGGTCAGTTTATGTCGTAAAATAACGTTTCGACCATGACTGATTTGAGTTCTTCCATTTCATAGCCGTCCGATGATGATGAGCTCGAGGAAGATCAGCAGGAATTTGTCTGGGACAAGTGTCTGAATGATCAGATGTTTGTCTTCCAGGATCATGAGCTAGAGCGCATTTTGGATATTATCATCACCAACATGACTCCCCAGCGGTCTCCTTCCCAAAAGCCAGTGCCTGCAAATCTTCTCTTCCTCAGTGCCCGTTACGCGCACTATCATGCCAGCCCCGAGCTGCTCATAACTCTGCTATCGTCTGCAATGGAGAAGATTAATGACGTTGTAGAACGTTACCAGTGGGATATGACAATGCAGGCCTTTTGGCTGTCAAATGCCACGCTTCTACTCCATTACCTGAAGAAGGATGGGGGCTTAGTGGAATCTACCGTCGAGTTCCAGCTCCATCTGGCGGAGCTGATCAACGAGATATTCGTTCTCATTATTCGTGACGCCGAGCGTCGAATGAACAAAGTCCTGGATGCGGCAATGCTGGACCATGAAACCATCCCTGGACTGGAGGATATTGCCTTCCAAAACGAGTGGAAGCTGTTCCGCAAAAATAAAAGCAAAAACCCCGAGCCTGACGAGAAGCGATTTCGGCCTCCATCACCGCGGCGACGAGCACAAATCTCACCTCGGAACATCACCTCTTTACTATCATCGACCCTCTTTGTACTTGATCTCTACGATGTTCACTCAGTGATCACGACCCAGATCCTCTCTCAACTTCTCTACTGGCTCAGTGCCGAGATATTTAACCGAATCATGAGCACGAAACGTTACTTGGCCCGCACAAAGGCGATGCAGATCCGCATGAACGTTTCATCATTAGAGGATTGGGCGCGCACGAACAACCGTGTACCGGAACACTATGAAAACGGTTCTACAAACACCACTGGAGAGTCTACAATTGACGCCGCTCGTCGACATTTAGCCCCAGTCATTCAGCTCCTCCAATGGCTGCAATGCTTCTCATCGCTCGGCGATGACCACGAATCTCTCGTAACAACCCTGCTCCAACTCCAACAACTCACCCCCGCCCAGCTCCTCCATGCAGTCAAGTCATACCGCCCAGAAGTAGGCGAGAAAGGCCTGACCAAGCAAGCAATGAAGTTCCTTCTTGACATGCAAAATGACTGCGGAGTTCTATACCGTGAGCAGGAGGCAATTCAAGAAGAGAAGGCAAAGACAGCAGCTGGACCAGGACCTCAAGCAGTAGCAGATGCCCGTCCAAAGACACCACCAAAGGACCAGCCCTCCGCAGCACCCACGTCTCCTGACACTGCACCATCTCCAAGCTCCGCTGCTGTATCACCCCGACCAGGAAGCACGACCACTGCCAGGACCGACGAGCGCCCAGGTGGCGGCAATAGTGTCTTCGTCGACCCAACCCTCTTCCTCCCCTTCTCCCTTCCAACCAGTACGGACATGCTGGTCAGCTACGGCGCCGGCTTTGGTGGCACGAACCGTGAACGAGCCCGCAAGTACATTCCCACAGTCCCGCCCGAGGTCTTGAGTCGATTCGATCGTGGCGACGTATAAAACAAAATAGGCATGATGACTGCTTTTCTTCACTTTTCCAACTGCGACCTGCCACCTTTGCTGGGATATTGTTGTTCCCGCAGCAAGGCGTGAGATAAAGATGGCGAATGAAGCGATAGGATACCCTTTGCGCCTTGTTTTTTGCTTGGGGGATATGCTAGATGTGAGTTCCATGTGCGCATCTGCCGATGCGCCGAGTATATATTTTAAATGAATCTCTTCCATGCATACATATGTAACATTGTGTCTGGTCACTGTAGATTGATATTGATAGCTGGTGTTTCTTTCGGTTTGACGAATAGCTCAAGCCATGCCACATTGGTCAAGGGCTTGGGCTGAATATATATGTTCTCAGCCTATACGAGTTTATTGTACAGCACTTCAGCTTATGCGGAGGATCCCACCACAGAAGCCCTACATATGGCTGCCGGTCGAATATCGAAGTGGTTGTATGGAGATGCTCGGACTCTAGCTGAATTAGGGTTCTGCAGGTTATTTGGAATAAAGTGGAACAGAATGCGACGGTATCACCCTCTAGAAATATAGAAAAAGAAGTAAACAACGGCATACATATACAAATATTATGAAACAAGGACTTCTTCAGACTGAAAGGAAGAGTACGATATGTCGGTTATATATGTTCTCCAGGCCATGATCTTTCCTACTAATCAGACGATAATATGGACACTGCGACATTCATGGATGACAATGGGGGTAACTGCTTGACCCAAAGAACATGTCGTTTCCTATTTGGGCCTCTCTTTCTCTCGCTCTATTCCCCTCCCTCTCCTCCCGTGGTCTTCGCATAATTTTCAGGTAATCCAACTGTGCCTTCTCGTCATCCCCTGTGTTTATGCAATTTAAAGCGTTGATGCTCTGTTTGCAACATGAAGCCCACCTCAAAACCCTCCAAGCGCATGAAGGGTACTAAGGACACCAATGAGTCTGCCAAAACAAGGACCCAGTCTCTCCCACAACTACTGCCTCGTCCTTCAATAGAGGACTATCCAAAAACCCCAAATCCTACGATGAGCTCATCCAGAGACCTGGTCCCACCATCCGGGCTCAATCGCCTACCACCTCCGCTGACAATGTCAACAACCCTCCCCCCGCTACCTGCCGGATGGGAAGGCACAGAGGACATGAAGCTGTGGCTACACACCAAAATGGAAGAAGACCGGCGCAAGCAGCAAGAAGAAAAGACATACCAGGCTACCTTGGTGCTGGAACAGCGGCGGATTGAGCAGTCAATATTGTCGGATGCCCTGCGCGCTGGTGTCCCACCGAAACTGGTCCCATTAATCTTCAACGGAATCTATACAACTGGTGCCAATCTCCAATTGGCAGCTGAACTGCAGAGCCAGTGGTCTGCACCGGCTTCCATATCTGCTGAACATCCTGCGATGCCCCAACAGCAAAATAATCCGGGCCCTGCGCCGCCTGCAAAGCTCCCAGTTGCACTCCAGCCGCTTCGGCAGGATCCTAAACAGCCTCCTCGAGCACAAGTTACTGACTTACCACCGGCGGCCACAGACCATCTGCCGGGAACGCGCGACTCTCGATGGTCGGAAGCTACATCCCGTTTACATCGAGACCGAGTGATAAGCTCTGAGCGAGAGCAGCTGAGGCGCAAGCTGAAATCCCAGAACGTAGAGTTCGCTGACATGGACTTGTTGGATACAGCCTTCGAACACACATTTCCTGTTACAAGCTCTATGCTCGAGGCCGAGCCCTCTCGACATTTGGCTGGTCTTCCCGACAAGGCTTCTGGGACGCGGGAAAAACGACAGCAAGCCCCTCAGAAAGTTCACACTAGGTGTTCACTGCAATCCCGGTCAAAACCCCAACAGCAACTACAAATTCCGCTGAGCAGTTCTGCCAATGCCTCCAATGCCCCATCTCACGTTCACCCGGAGCAAGCAACCCCCCCTAGCCCGAAGCGAAAGGACCAGAGGTCGCACAAGAAAGTCCCTCCACCTCAATTCCGTCGAAGTGAGACTGCGCCCGGTCAGCAAGACTCATTCGACAAAGCAGACTTTCTTCATCAGAAACAACAGCAGCGTGATTTATCCAGCTCTCACGAATCCCGCACCTGTGAGGGTGGTTCTTCTGAGCAACCATCGGAGTCGACCCCGGTTTCAGTAGGGAAATTCAGTGCAACTCCAGCTGAAGAAGTTCAAAAGCAATCGTCTCACCCCCAAAGCTCATCTGATGCTGTCGATGCATCAAATCCTATGCAAGACACGGTTGCAGGCATCAAGTCGGAGTGATGCTTAACAGTGTGCCACTCGATTTATTTTCTTTGTTTTCTTGTCTATTCGATTATTCTTTCGGAAATTGAGCGTTCGTCTGCTCTCAATGTTCTTTACCTGTGCATGTGCTTGTTTTGAGTCAATTGGGCTAAACAGGTGTCTATGGCGTTGAAGGTGACATTCGCGCTGATTGCATGCCCTGATCTTAGCTCGAATGACTCCTATCAGTTACAAAGATACCAAAGGTTGTTATTGTTACTTCGATGCTGCGGTCTGGTCGGTCTATATTGTTATCCTGGCTTGTTCTTGGTGACGGCTGAAGCCTGCATGCCGGGACTCACTAGCAGCTGTTGACATTATTGTTAGAACTTGAATTGATTGAGCTTCAACTTTACCCCTCTAGTAGGAGGCTGCAAGTAACGAAACATTCATTTTCAATGAAGAAAATACCTTGTAGGAACCCCCTCACATCTTTCTACATTAATAAAAATAGATATAAAGCTGTCGAAACTCTTGGCGTGTCCAGTATGACATCGAAGTACGTCATTGCCAAATGAATGGGTAGAAACCTGATTTCGTAAGGGACTTGTATATATAGGAACTCAATTCCACTTGTGACAATCCATATCTAACCTTCTCCTACCTTCAACAAGACCGAAACCCACCAGCAGCCTCCAAAATGACGACCTTCATGCGCCCGAAGACCCCATTCCAGGCCCGATCCCCAATTACAGCTTTCTCCGCAGCGCGCACTCAAACACCTCGCACCTCCCTATACCAAGGCTATGCGACCAAACCCTCAAGTAACCCAGAGCAAGCCACAACTACAACCCGCCAGACAGGCTCGCCCACCTGCCCAATCCCCTCCAATAAAGCAAAACCCACCCTCAGCGAGGGTGAGCAGTCGCCTCTTGTAGACCGAGAGGGAAAGAAAAAGGACGTTCCCCAGGATGTGAAGAAGCACAATAAGGATATCGGGGAGCGGTATCCCAAGCCGTATAACTATACTGGCGATGATGGCACAGTTAAACCTGCTTTCAAGACCTAGCTTGATTCGTTGCTTGTATCTTGCTGTGCTGGCGACATGCCCGCTATGATATGCTAGGTTGTAAGAGGGTGCTGGTTCATCATTTTCCTTTTGGGCTTCTGAGTTCAGGCGCCTGCTTCAGAGCTATAGATGAATGGCTTTTCTTTGTGCACTGAGGTTCAATGTCTTGATTGGGCTTTGTATTTTATGTTTTGGGATTGTTTATCATTCAACATTCAACATATACATGTACCCAAATGGACAAGTAAAATCTACAGTATATTCTGCAATCGCGCGTAATGCAGATTGAACACCGACCGTCCAGTAGTACACTTGATTTCC